CACCTGTCGAACTACCTTTCGACCCACTTCTGTTGAGGACTTGGCTTCCTTCATGCGTCGTCTCCTTGACCATGAGCCCCTCCTCATCCACCCCGAGTGCTCTCTGCACTCGTTGCTATTGTCTTGGAGTGATTTCGCTATCACCCTCCTGAAGATCATCTCGCATCACTTCCTGACGCACTTCGATCTCTTTCCCTTTGAACCACAAACAACTCCGTGTCCTGGCTTCACACTTGATGCTTCTTGATCAACCTCAAGATCACTCTCACTAGAGCTGCATCCTTCTTCTGATGTCCCTTCCTTGACCTCATCAAGTAAGCCACGCTTGGCTAAGAACACCTCTTCAATCCCCTTGGGCTTAGTGAACGTCTTGTTCACCTTCTTGGCCATGTTTCTGCTCTTCTCACGAGCAAAACACTCCACCTTCTTGTGTCCAACCTTCCCACAGAACCAGCAGCACATCCGATGTTGCTTCTTATTGGGCCTGACACAGTTGCTGATGCACCGATCAGCCTCCTTCCTTGTACCAGATGCACAACCATGCTTCAGAACCTCCTGTCTGGCCTTCATGTTGCTGCACTGATGTACTCCTTTCGGCTTGTTATTCACAGCCACGCGCTGTAGAACTTCCTGCCGTACTCCTTGTCGTACGTCCCGACGTACTTCCTGACGAACATCCTTGGCTTCACTTTTTGAAGTGCTCCCTTGCACGAACTGTGACCGCCCCTTCTGCTGTACGCCAGTGCTCTCACCTCCTCGATATCCCAGTCCCCAATTTGCCTTGGCTGGTTGTCCCATTGCGAGTATCTTATCCAACTCCTTGGATCCACTATTGAGCATTCTGATCTGTTTGTTATTCTCAGCCAAATCACGTTCCAGCTTCCTTGCTCTCTCTTGTTCACCAGTAGCAACTCTTCTCAGTTTGCTAACTTCCTCTTCAAGAGGCTCATTCTTCTCTTCTACAGCCGCAAGTTCTTCACGAAGTTCTTCAAGCAACTCGTTTTGCTTCTGAGCCACATCCTCCAATCTCATATTCTGATCCTTGACTCTCAACCACTTGTTGAGCAGCACATGATACTCCTCATCATCTGTACTGCGATCTGAATCAGTGGATTCACTAGATCCCTTCTTGCGTGCACCAAATGCAACCATATTCTTCAACACCTTGTCATCTTCTTCAGACTCTGAATCATCAGACGACTGAGTTCCTTTTCCCTTCTTTGAGTTTGGACATTCACGCCTCGTATGTCCAACACCTCTGCACTCAGAACACTTAAGTTCCTTTCGTTGTGCCATAGGACAGTCAGCCTTCACATGACCAAATCCTTCACACTCGTAGCACTTGATAAAGTCTCTTCTTCTACCATTGCCACGATCACCTCCTTGACGATCATACTGATTTCTGCCACCAGAATGAATCTTCTTACCAAAATTCCTAGCCAACA